ACATGCCTATTGCGTCACCGGACCGATTTGTACCATTATATGTTCCTCTCCAAGATCGTTTTCGAGCCACCAAGCAGGTCAACGAGCTCTCGCCGCTGGAGCGACTTCATCGTACGGAGAACGCTGCTTCGGATGTATTCTGCTTCACACCGAAACGGTCTTCGCCCCTTTCCGCCCGACGGGCCTCTCGTTCTGATGGCAACCAACGGCGTGTCGGCACTGTTCTAGGCTTGCACAGCCTGGAACAACGGCAAGTCAGCAACGGTGCCGTCTGGTCCGTCGGCGGCTTAGCCCCTGGAGGTGTTAATGACGGTCGTGGGCGGAGGGTCAGCTCTGGCACGAATGCCCGCCTATACACCACGGCGTTTTCGAATACGCGGCCCAAGTCCGAAGATGAGCAGGAGAAGCATGAAGGGAGAATCGCTCTCGCCCTGAAGATAGATCGAATCCAGAGGATTCTAGACTTTGACGGGTATTCGACTTTCCCTCGCTGTAAGTACAAAGGGAGACCCCCACTGCGAGAGGCCAAGACGACATGGACGGGAAGCGAGTGGAGCAACGACTGTTATATTCCCAGTATGCACACTCCATACTTCACATCAACTTAGAGAGACTGACGGGGCAGTAGAGATTCAGAGGGAAGAGCGGTGTCTCCCCAGTGCCCCTTTCAAGTGCGTAAATCTCTCCTTTAGCAATACAATCATTGACATTTGCTAGGGTTCTCGATGCCCCGGGGTTGCGTGACGATTTTTACTGCTCAGTCATGGCGTATTCTCACACGTGCAATACGTTGGCTGTTGGGCTGGGCAATCTTCTCTACGGGTGGTCAGAAGCCTCGGGTGTCACACTCCTAAATACGGGACACAAGGACGGTTCGTGGTTAACTTCGGTGGCATTCTCATCTGACAGGGGTGGCAAGTCAATACTCGCGTTCGGCCGGTCAAGCGGACTACTCTCCTTAGTATCACTTTTTGACAGCCTGCTTCCTCGGTTCGAAACGTACCATCCCGCACCCATAGCCTGCCTTTCCTGGCGTCCCACATCGACCCCGCGAGCTTCTCGAAATAAACGTAACCCTGGTGTTCTAGTTAATACGGAAGATCTCCTTGTGGGCGATGACCTAGGTGACCTCTATTATTACACGGTAGAATGGCCCGAGCCCTAGGAAGTTGCCCGGGAAAACTGGCGCGGTACGATGACTTTACTTGCTCGGATTAAAGTTCACTCCCAACAGATATGCGGTCTCGCCTGGTCTCCTGACGGCAGTCAGTTTGCTACGGGAGGAAACGATAATCTATGCTGCCTTTTCGTTATAGACGGTCTCATAGATGTTGAATCTGACCTGAATCTGGGCTTTTCGAAGCTATCAATCGCGAACACAACCGGCGACCGAGAACAACAACCTGCTTCACCACACGCTATCAACCCTGGGGACGGAGCTTCGTTTTCGTTGCCCGAATTTGATTCTGACAGCCCCGACCCATCGTCGGCCCTAAGATGTCTTCCCGTCGGCTCTGAGAAACACCGCTGGCACCACGGGGCAGCCGTTAAAGCCATCGCATTCTGCCCGTGGCGTCAAGGGTTGATTGCCACCGGGGGAGGGTCTAATGACAAATGCATCCACTTTTACCACGCAAACTCCGGTGCCGCACTTGCCACCATCTCGGTAGCGGCTCAGGTTACTTCTCTCATATGGAGCAAGACTCGACGGGAGATCGCCGCCACCTTTGGGTATGCGCAACCCGACCACCCGTACCGCATCGCTGTGTTCAGTTGGCCAGACTGCCGGCAGGTCGCTGCCGTGCCTTAGGAGGGAGAGCACCGTGCGCTGTACGCCATAGCATACCCAGGTGGACCAAGTGACACATACCGCACAAAGGAGAGGCTAAGGAGTCGCACGGCCGAGGAGGGCTGCATCGTAGTAGCGAGCAGCGATGAGAGTGTCAAATTTCATGAAGTGTAGGCAGCATCACGCAAGGCGACTACGCTTGGAAGCGGTGTCTTGGCTGGGAGCGACATCTTGGAGATGGAAGAAGGCATCGACAAGGAGGGAGAGGTGATTCGCTAAGTAGGTTTAAAAGAAAAGGGGGAAGGACCATGCACGATGTAACATGGCTCGCAATAGATTGAAAAAAAAAAAAGACAGGCCATGTTAGTTATGAAATAGCCCATGCCCGTGGGTGAATGGATAAGGGGGTTGAGCTTTTGTATTCCATAGCATTCGTGACTGGGTTACTTGACTGAGTTGCGCGGTAATGAGCTTGATGCCAACGGTAAAGGGGTACATAACCTACCTGTCATAGATGATTACAGTACATTCTTTTGTTCGACGTCATTCCGTTCTGTTTAGTCAGATATCAAAGGCTCAGGGGCTTGTCCAAAATGTGCCTTTATTTTAATATGTTGTAGCGGTCAAGTGACAATACGTCGTGACTGCATGGCTGATGACAAAGGTCGGTAGGTTACCAGACAAATACACCTAGACTGGCTAAGTAACTAAGTACATATGTATGTACCTAATAGGTAGTACTGGAGAAAAGGAGGTCTCCTTATAAAGCAGATCCGACTAATCCTGTTTTAGTTCGGTCACGCTATCCTAATTAGATAGTTGCTCATCTAGTCACCGGTCACTACCTACCTAATACCCGCAGACTTCTTGCCCCGCTCTCTACATAGTATTCCTGCCCCGCCAATACCTACCTAGGTACTGCCTATGGCACTCCATATGCACATTTAATCCACTAGCAAGCGATCCGACAGCCTTACTTTCACTAGCTGTTTAGCTGTCTAGGTGTACCTGCCTACCTGCCTACCTGCCTATCTGCCTATTCGGTACATGTATACGTATGCGGCGGTATACCTAAACAGTATGTAGGTTGTACCATAGGCAAGTTGTAAGCTTATCAGTGACTGTGATCGGTGGCTCAGACCAGTCACTTGAGGTTGCTCTCAAATCGCCCATAAGTACCTAGCATATATAATTTTTGGTCATCAAACCCAAATCACCTGGGCTTGCTGGGACCAGAAAGGGTTGCCTTGGATTTAGCACGACTCCTTCCCCCCCACCACAAACTAAACCCGTGCCTCCAACCTTTAACCTAAACCTCAACATCTTTACCAAACCAAGAACCAGAACCGGAACTATCCATCATTATCATCATCATCACCACCAGAAAAATCATCGCCAGAAAATCATCCATCTACTACTTTTAAATCGTCTTTTACCTTTCTAACCCATCTGTTTATTTTCAACACGCTTCACCTTTCTTCCTCCTCTTCCCGCTACTAGTTCTCGCTGTCGCTAACGAGCACCACACCGTCAAGATGCGATCCAAGTTTAAGGACGAACACCCCTTTGAGAAGCGCAAGGCTGAAGCCGAGCGCATCCGTCAGAAATATGCCGACCGCATTCCGGTATGTCATCATGTCTTCCATCTCCCAACATCTTCATCCATTTTACCCTTCTTTATCCGTTTAACTCGTTCCTGGTTCCTGTCGTCATTCCTTCCCCCTCTGGCGTTCCACACTCACTAACCTCACCGCTTTGTTTGCTTTCCCCTCCTCTTCTTCAAAACGTTCTAGGTCTAACCAACATGTTCGCAAATAGGTTATCTGCGAGAAGGTAGAGAAATCAGACATCGCGACCATCGACAAGAAGAAGTACCTCGTGCCCGCAGATCTTACCGTAGGCCAGTTTGTCTACGTCATCCGGAAGCGCATCAAGCTATCTCCGGAAAAGGCAATCTTCATCTTTGTTGATGAGGTCCTACCCCCGACCGCTGCTCTGATGAGTAGTATCTACGAGGAGCACAAAGACGAAGACGGGTACATTCACCTCTAACCTTTGCTTTCCGTCGAGATGTCGTGCTGACCAGTTTTCTTTTCCCAGATTCCTCTACATAACCTACTCGGGGGAGAACACTTTCGGCGATGCTGCTTAGGGCCTACTCTTTCTCCGATTTTCCCCAAACGGCGTTAACGGTTTATCTCGGGCTGGACGACAACGATGTGATTATTAGTGGCAATGAATTATGGATAGGGACAGGAATGGTTACAACGGATGACTGATAATGGTTGTGTCTGTCTGTCTGTCTGTCTCTGTCTGCCCGCCTAATCATGTCGTGCTCCCAAGTGTGTAGATGGCAATTCGATACACCCTTTTTGATTTCGTATCATCAATATCAGTGTGGCGTGCCCATCAATTCATCCTAGACATCCCGAGCTTGAAATGATCTACGTAATTCAGCATTTGCTCCTACATTTATCGTAGCCTTACGATCCTTTTCAATCATTGAGACAACTCCATCTCCTTGTTCAGTCTCAAATGGGCGAGCCGCAGCACGTCGCCGGGATCCTTTCAGATGTTGAGGCTGTCTAAGTCGAATAAGACGATGTCTTTCCCCTGGACTGACTGGTCATGACTTATTTGATAGTCAGACCTGCTATTGGAATTTATATTAGGTATTTTCCAGTGTCGTACACGGTACCAGGACCAAAACGCCGTCTCTTCTGTAGGCAGACCATCAGACAAAATGTCCTTTACATACTTCCTTCATTCATAGGTGTTTATGTAGTAGTATACAAGTCTACCTGTTTCTATATAAGAGTTGCTGGGTTTAGCAGTATCACATCAGCCTCTGACGTGGCAAGAACTTCAAAGTGGCTATACTAGTAATACCAATCTCTTGTCCTATACTAGTCAAGCCAATGTAATATAGCTATGTATCATACAAAGCCAAATTTACGGCACGTCAAATATACGTGTAACAATTCCTATATATAATTATGCCAGGTTGGATCGCTTTTGAAAAAAGTCTATAGAGAAAACTAATAAGCAAACTCTCAGATAATAAGATGAACAATAAGATTCAAAACACAAAAAGGTTATACTCGAAGCGAAAATTACAGTACCTAGGTAAGTACCAGATTGTATCTGATTAGTGCAAAAGATTTCGACTACAACTATTTGTCTAGGTTAGGGACAAATCATGTATTCTAGATGATGAGAGTGGGACTCGAACCCACGCGGATTGCTCCACTGCGAGATTTTTTTATACCATATAGATAGAATACTACTAGGTAGTAGATTCAGGTAAACCTGAACGCAGCGCCATAACCACTCGGCCATCTCACCGTTGTATTCGGTTTGAATGTTATTGTAGTTTTGATGTAATTATGCCTAAGTAGTAAACAAGGCTCGATATACTTGATTAATCAATATAACTAATAGTTATAATTATCATAACTACCTAGGTAACTAATGGTTTACTTTCACAATGTAGTACCGTTTGTGAAAAAAGGAATACTGAGTTGAAACTACACCTTGAAAACATATGTGTCTCCAATGGAAATGCCGGTTGTCTAAGGGCTATCATAGCCGTAGCTGTTCATGATGAGCCGTAAACCCATCTCTTGGTCATCTGTCAACTCCCCTTGCCTTAAAAAGGGGTTTGCGTTCTTGAAGGGGTTTGGCCTCCTAGCCGTATACCTCCGGTCCTATTTCTCGAAAGTGAGCGGCTAAGATATCTCCATCTACTTCAGATATGGTCCGTACTTGGCCCTTTTCCGCCAGAGACCTCCAACTTATATGACATGATTAGACGCGGGGGATTTATCCCAACAAATCCAGTGTCACCATCGTGGAGATTGTTGGAGGTCGGTAAGTTTGTACTATTATATTTTGCAGTCGCGAAACCTGGATGAGCTAACTAGATACAGTAATAAGAAGCAAGGACGTCGATACCTCACGTTGATCTAAGTCACAGAGAAGACTGTCGGGCGGAATGCGTATTCCGGTTCGAAGGAGCGCACCGATTCTTACATCTGGTCGTCTCTCGCTTTCTTCCAATAACTCTCGACTTGCTTTGGTCTACCCATATCCGCCTTCATCCTGCATCTACTCGCGCCTGAGAGTTTTGTTTTAATAAGAAAAATAAAGAAAAAGCACGAACGATACCGCGCGTCTAAGAGCGCAATGCGAGGCCGGATGCAATGGAAAGTAATCGTACACGGGGTAAATACTTTGAATCTCTGCCTGGAATCGAGTCATTCCCCGACATAGTTGTATCCGCACGTAACCCCTATAAGCTGCTCGAATTAAATAGCACAACCGCATATTAACGCCGATTTTTCTTTGCTTTCTCCCGCTGGGAACAAAAATAGTGTAAGTAGAAATATCAAGTGATTAATTCGGCCCTGTCAGAAACGTCAAATCGTGGGTGGGAATCGCTTAGAGCCTCCGAACCTTCCTAATCCCCAAAACAATGCAAAATCCTGAACGTCCAGCCGATGTAGTACTGTGTATAAAGCAACCGAGCCGAGGCTGAACGACGGCACGTAATCCTGTATCCAGAAGCGACGTCGCTATGCCAGCTTTATTATAAAAATTGTCTTTCCTCAAACGTGTTTACTCCGGAAGGGACGAGACATCACGTCGGATTGTTTTTCGCGCGCTTCTGTAGTCGAGGCGTTCCAGGAGGCTTCTTGTTGCCCATCGCAACACCGTTTACTTGGGGAACCCCGATGCTCGCGGGCGTTGGAGCGCCATTTTCCTCTTCGGCCTTTACCGTGGAAGGTCTCCTCCGTTTGTTGCTTGCTGGACTCGTATTAGCACTGGGTCCGCTAGAGTTCGTTCCTTGCTGACTTTGCTGTAATTGCATGCCGGGTGCTTGCATGTGTCCCTGAGCAGGACTGCCCATGTGAGGGGAATTCGGAAGCTGTAGATGCGCGGTGGCCGGCGAAGCGCCCATGGGGAATTGGCCGAAACTAGGAGTCCGTGGGTTGGGCGGACCGTTACTCTGAGGTTGACCGTTCACTAGAGGCTGTTGGGAGGCGTTGGTAATATTCTGATTGACGTACTGCTCAAGCGCAGCGTAAGGTGAAAGGCCCTGATGCGAATGGTAAAAGTTGAATAACGGCTAGGCGATTTCAAAGGTTAGCATTTGAATAGAATCAATCACAAGCCTTGCAAGGAGACATAGACGCCTTGGGAATGTCGAGCTTACATTCATTTGTCCAACAACTTCTATAATCTGAAAATACCGTGTTAGCAAAAGCGCGTAAGTTCTAGAGAAAAGCTCGCACCTCGAGGAACTGGAACACGGCTTCTGTGAGGCCTATATTCTGCTTGACGGCCGATGGCGGTAGATCAATATCAGGAGGTGGATTTGGCGGCGACTTCATTGTCTTCGCTTTACCCTTCTTGCTCATCTCGGGAGACGATCGCGAGTCCTGGCCATTGACCTTGAGCCATTCTTTGACCCAATTGTGCGCAGGTCTTGCGGCTTCGGTAACCATCTTCCTCGAGTGATACTCCTCGTGGCTTTGAGTGATAAATTCTAATACGTCCAGTTTTTGCTCGCTGTCAAACTGCGCTCGGAGTACTCCTGAGGCAACGACCTAACCACCAAGCCGTCAGAATCCGATTTACAATCCACAGGACAGTTTGCGTAACTTACGTGAGAGTGTTCAAACCAATAGGTCAAGTGTGCCTTAACATTCTCAATGAAATGGCAGCCGTTTGGCAATGGCCTGTCGGTAAGGCCCTTTTCGAACGTCAAATTTATCTTCTTGATGCCACTCTCGTAGTGTGTGTGGAAGTATCGTGCTAGCGCAGGCTGTGTAATCTCGTACTGCTTATCCGTGTGCTCTTCGTTTCCCGTGTCACTGCCGACATAGAATAGAGAGATCCTGTAGACACCCCTAGGCGAGAAGAATTGCGAGACAAAATTGTTCCAGTACGTAAGGTCATCCTTTGTTCGTGCGCCCTAGGAAGTGAAAAATGTCAGTGTTCGGTTTCGAACAGGGGGTAAGACCTAGAAAGCCACGATCGAGTCTATGTGGGAAAATGGTTGGTACTAACAGGATAGTTACTAAGCTGCTCGCCGAACTGAAGTAGTTTTATTAAACAGTGAGCTTTCATGCCATCATTCTTGTGTTGATGTTGTAACAGCTGCTGCTGGATGCTAGTTGGCAGCTGCATATGGGCCGCCTGCAGCGCCTGCGGGGTAGGTTGTTGAGGTTGGCTCTGCTGACCATTGGGTGGCTGCCCTTGGCCTTGCGGTTGCTGCAGTTGATTGCCTTGTGCGGGATTGGGTACCTGGCTCTGAGGTTGGTTTGGTTGCGCAACAGCCGGCGTCGGGGCTCTCTGCGGGCCTTGTGAGTTCGGCTGCGGTTGTTGGCCGGGTTGCGGACCGGGTTGCTGCTGACCCGGTTGTTGCGGCGGCTGGGGCTGCCCTTGTTGTTGTGGCTGTCCTGGAGGTTGAGGTTGAGGTTGTGGACCTTGACCCTGACCTTGACCCTGACCCTGACCCTGAGGACCTGGGGGGACCTGTTGTGCCATCGATTGTGCTATTTGTGCCTGTTGAATCTGTATTTGCTGAGGGTTCATCTGCCCGGGATGGCCAGGTTGGTTGCCCTGGTGCATCTGATTATTCGCTTGCTGCTGAGCTTGGTGCTGTTGCATTGCTATCTGCTGCAACATATGCTGTGTGTAAGTATGGTTGTCAGCAGGAAGTCTAGAATTTATATGCTCAAAAGGCGTCGGGATGTGTGTAACTACCTGAGCGTGCTGCGGATTTTGATGTTGTCCCTGTTGAGCAAGATGCGCCTGCTGCAAATGGGGCATATTGCCGCCGACTCGTTGCATATTCGCCGAGTTTCTTATAGCCGAAAGATGGGCAGCCGTCATGTTACCCATGTTCATTCCCTGCATATTCATAGGAATGCCCCCGTACATCTGCTGTTGCAGCATAGCCGCCTGCCTCTGCTGTAACATTCTTTGCTGCTGCATCTGGGCGATCACTTGGGGGTTTTGAGCTGCTACTATGAGCTGTTAGCAAGATAGGATCACCTTCGATATTACATTGGGCCGGGGATGAGAAAAAATCTCGGCTTACAGAATTGTTGTTGTTGTTGGAACATCTGCTGCTGCTGCTGGGGGTTCAGGTGCTGTAGGGCATGGGCGTTGGGGCCGGCAGCACCGGGAGGTATAGCACCCATCATGGCAGCGGGATTGACCTGTCCACCGGGTCCGGACACGGCCATGTGGGCAGCCATCTGAGGAGGTATACCAGGTTGGGCTCCCGGTTGACTTGGATTATGGGCCATACCCGGAGCGCCCATGGGGTGTCCCGGATGGGCGCCGGGATGCTGCTGCATACCTGGGTGAAAGCTACCGGGTCCTATACTCGCCATCATTTCTCCTGGTGTCGACTATCCACGACGTGGATATCGACGTCAAATCGTGACCGCTATTTCATACGCTCTAGATTCTTCTATCCGTCGTCGCGGTTCCGATGTAATCGATCGGTTGTCCCCGTTGACAGCTTTGTGTGCAGCGGTTCCTCGGGGAAGGGAGGGTTTTCCCAATCTCTTTTTCTCTCTTCCTTCGGCAGGCAATCACTTGGAAGCTCTCCCCTTGTTCTACTGGCTATAGTATGAGTGGATGCGACTTGACGCAATGCGATCGCCGATCACGAAACGTGTATGCTAATGCTCTGATAATGTCACCGTCGCGATTGCAAGTTTTGACTGAAGGCGTAATTTGAAATTGGAGATGATTAGAGACATGTAGATGTAGGTCGCGTTGAAAGGTGGTAGAGGGTAGAGAAGAAAGGGCCGATGAGAACTGATTTCTTTTTGATTCCAGAACGCGGTTAGAATGGGATTTCAGGATGCGCGCCGGGCGATAGCACGAATGGCTGCGGAAAATAAAATGCGGTTGGGTTCGTGTTAGCGGCAAGACGGGCAACGTAAGAGTCACTTCAACGCCGAAAACTTTATGAATAGACTTCGTTCTAATCGTAGGGTCGTCGCCGCTATCGGAACAATTGGTTGAGCTACGTCGCTGGTGGCTGTTGTTACTTTTGTCGTTGTCGCGCGTGGGTAGCCCAGGCGGAGCGAAAAGAGGCGGACGTGCACGATGCGATACAAGTGGGTGTTATTAGGTAGTTGGCGTTGGCGTCGTGAGATTCGACCCAGGTACGGTATGGTACAGTACCTAATCGACAGTGAATTTAAGTTGCTAATACGGTGGAAATTGTGGTATGATTTTTATGCAAGGTATTAGTTGGTGTATTATATTATGATTTTGATGATTTTAGTGCTGGTTGGATCTTAAGCGATAACTGCTGG